TTTCGCTTGAGGTGGTCTTTTGAAATAAATATTATTTTAAAATTAATAATTAATTAAATGATAAATAGACTAATGTAAATAAACAACTTTGAGGCATGTTGAGCAATCAGATTACTCTTATTAACCAGAAGAACAAAAGTATGTGACATTTACATCGTTTAGGGCAAAATACTTACCCACATCATGAAACATAAGGTATTCATCTTGTCATCTTTGACTGCTCCTGCAACTCAAATTTGTATCTATGTATAGGATAAATCCAAATTATGAGAGGACTCTTCTTGAGATATAAAGTCCAAAGATCATCATGGGGCAGGACTTTTTATCCAAAAAGAGTTCTTATAAGTTTTTCTGGATTAAATATGCCCTCAAAACCATCTATAAGTGGGGAAAGTCTCATACTTCTGAAGGCATTCAATGAATTTTGTATTGACTAAACAGGACCATGCTCCTTACTTTCAAATGGAATGTGTTTTAGTCGTACCTAATTCAGAATTTGACATTTTTCTCATTAAGTTTGCATATTGAAATTGTGGCAGGTGGACACTATATAACGGTCAACTGATGGGAGCATTTATAGATAATCTAACTGTAACCATTATGATATACAAAGGCCATTGAGTTTAAAATTTACTCAATGGATAGCATCAGGCCTTTTGCCTATTTGAAATGGTCTGGACACTAAAAATCGCTCTCCTTAACACAGTAATGCAAGTGATAACGGAAACTATGTTATGAAAAGTGACAATAAGTTCCTCCAGGTTTGAGGCGCGTGACAAGAAAAGTGATCACTCCACTATGAAAGTAAGGTCTGTAGCATGTGAATAATAAAGGCCCTTATCCAAGGTCTGAGTTTGAATCCAGTCATGGTGGCTTCTTCTTTAATAGTACTATTAACTTGAGGGTTTGGTTTATTGATGTTATGTGATCTTTATAAAAGCCTTTGATATACAGAGAACAATGCAGAACACTAAAAAGGGCATATGATGATTGTGTGAATCATGTTCCAATGGGCGTACAGGTTCATTGGTAAAATTAATCTTCCAAAAAGATAACCACCATAGAAATATTTCTATATTTTTCACATGATTTATTTAAGTGAAGTTTTGTTTTTGTTTGGAACTGGTAAACATTGAAAAAGACCATGTCAATGACAAGCTTTGATGATTAATCAGAACAATTTTGGCATTTTGGAGGGGGTGGGCACTTTGGTGAATATGACCCTGAATATAAAAATTATGCAGGAGTGGGCGACTGCCAGGCACTTGATTGGACATGAGCACTAGAATGCTCAAATGCAGGAAATGTTCTTGGATGTTTATATAATAATTAGTCTTTAGTTAATGAGCATAATATAAGAACAAGAATCAAACTTGAAAACAGCACATATAAATGTATTCTCGAGAGCGGAGCTACTTCACTGAACGTTCTATGTTGCTAAAACGTACTCCACTGTACCATGTATTTCAATGGGCTCATTATGAGCCGGTGTGGAACGCCTGTTGAAGAGCCATTGAAAACAGCTAAAGTCAAAGAAACAGCACAAACTCAACTTTGAATTAATCCCAAGCTACCAAATTTATATATATTGCACACGTAGGGCTAATCTTGTCACACTGTTCAGGGGACTCTCAACAACCATCTCAAAGTATTATACAGTTTTCGATATTTGTTTTCACCATGATGGTTGCCAGACAGTGAAAATGTCCAGATGCCGCCCTGAGAATAGATGTCCTGCAATGGAGTATTCTGATTGGTACTCTGCAGATTCTAAATTTATCCTGGTATCTATATTTATAGTCAGAAATTAAAGATGAAGACATACCTAGTGTGATTAGGAATGAAGGGTATTTAGAGGAACTTCAAGAAAGTGGAGTTTCATATTCCCATCAAGGACAGGATAGATTATTCCGGGGACATGGTAAGTAAACACTTTGACATGACCTTATAATCAAATAAACAGTGAGATCTCATTAAGAGGAGGAAGCCTAGAGACTTGATTTTCCCCCTCACATAGTATTCCATCTCCCCCGTCACCAAGTCCACAGTTCCAAATACCATGGTTACACAGGTGTTAGGAACAGTGGAGATGATGATGAAAAAATAAAACCGTATTTTAC